AAACCTGACGTCCTAAAAATAGTATATAGCGGCTCAGGGGGTGGGGAAATTGACGTGATGTTCCGTTTTCTGTTCCTGGGTCTTCGGGGGAGGCTAGGTTAGGGTAATTTTTGAGAGGCACTGAGGTGAAGACTCTACCTGTAATTCTCCCACCTGCGGCCTCAGGTCCTGCAGGTTAAAATCATCAGGAAAATGGGTCGAGGTCCATTGACAAACCGCCCGCTCCCTGTCCCCGTCGAGGCCGCTAGGGAGATGGTGGCCCTGAGGTAAACTCAGGTAAAGTAACTACAGGTAGAGTATACATAGTAAGAATAACTGATGGATAATAAACCAAAGTTTCTAATGGACTCAAGTAAAATAAATAAATAAATAAATTAATAAATAAAAATAAACATTCCTATCGAGGACACACAATTAGGTTTCATTTAGCGTCGGGCTTAAGACCTATCAACCTCTGGAGGGTTATTAAGACCTATCAACCTCTGGAGGGTTATTAAGACCTATCAACTTCTGGAGGGTTATTAAGACCTATCAACCTCTGGAGGGTTATTAAGACCTATCAACCTCTGGAATGTTGCTGGACCATCCCTCCTGGAAGGTTGCTGGAGCGGCATCGTACAGGGGAGTACAGTCACACACTAGTGGCGGAGATGACATGATAATGATGCTAACGAATGTGATGATAAATTTTGCTGGACGTGTTTACGTCGATGAGTATTGATGGTGACGAAGATGCTGACAGTGATGGTACACTATATATATATATATATATATATATATATATATATCTATAATATATATATATATATATATATATATATATATATATATATATGGCCTCAACATCCCTTAATGCATCACATACATTACAGAAGAGTAAGGTTGAAGAGACTCTTACAGAAGAGTAAGGAGAGACATGATCACCACCTACAAAATTCTCAGAAGAATTGACAGGATGGACAAAGACAAACTATTTAGTATGGGTGGAGCACGAACAAGGGGACACCGAAACTGAGTAACCAAATGAGCCAAAGAGACATTAGAGTTTTTTTTCAGTGTCAGAGTAGTTAACAAATGGAATGCATTAAGTAGTGATGTGGTGGAGGCTGACTCCATACACAGTTTCAAATGTAGGTTTGATAGAGCCCAGTAGGCTCAGGAACCTGTACACCAGTTGACAGTTGAGAGGCGGGACCAAAGAGCTCAAAGCTCAACCTAGCAAAACTAGGCGAGTACGACTAGGTGAGTACACACACACACACACATAGGGGCCTGGCTGGCTGTGTGGACAGCGCTCTAGACTCGTGGACCTTGGGACCAGGATTCGATCCGGGCAACCGGCGGGAAAAACAAATGGGCAGAGTTTCCTTCACCCTGATGCCCCCTGTTACCTAACAGTAAATAGGTACCTGGGAGTTAGACAGCTGCTACGGGCTGCTTCCTGTGTTGTGTGTGTGTGTGTGTGTGTGTGTGTGTGTGTGTGTGTGTGTGTGTGTGTGTGTGTGTGTGTGTGTGTGTGTGTGTGTGTGTGGTGTGTGTATATGTGTGTATGTGTATGTGAAAAAATTAGTTTGTAGTTAGTAACACTTGATTGATTGACAGTTGAGAGGCAGGCCGAAAGAGCAGAGCTCAACCCCCGCAAACACAACTAGGCGAATACAACTAGGTGAAGACACACCACACACACACACACGCACACAAAACAAAACTACATTTCCATACACACAGACCCGCCCACCATCCAACTGTTCCTCTTTTAATGGCACAACACCACATATCCACTAACCGCCCGACCATTTGTCACCGGAGGCAAAATGCACTTCCTCCTAAATCACAACCAAAAATTACAACCAGTAGCTATAAATGTCCAGAAAATGGACATGTCCCACTGGAACCCTATTTTGGTCCCCCCCGTTCATTTCATAAGGCACAACCTAACCAACAAGATATGTATTGTAATTGTTTATTTTTTGGGACATTTTTTTCGCCCCACAAGGGGGACATCAACATGCTAAATTCACAATTTCACATAAACCACAATTCCAGGACAGTAGGCCGGTAATCCTCAACATAGCGGATACTATTATATACTCAAGCAGCAAAATTAGATTTACACGCTAATGCCGCGTTTGCATATCATCATTTTGCATGCAGCGACACTCCAATAATTTCCAGGCGAGCGAATGAGACACACACACAGAGGCGGACAATATTAAGTCAGGGGAGGTGTTTACGATGACAGCCGTGGCTCGGGGCCCTGTAGACAACACCAGGGTTGGTATTGCTCCATAAACACTGTTATACTTCAAAACATTAGTAATTTATATATTATTAAGTTCTCCTGCCCAGCTGGTGGATGACAGCGTCGCTGGACCCGGTCATGTGTGTGTTACGCTGACCGACCGACACCAGCCGCTGGGGCAGAGATCAGGCAATTGTTTGGTAGAGTTACCCTTACTCACAGTGTTACTTTACTCATAGTGTTAGTTTATTCACTGTTATTTCTTCCAGCAAGCGTTACCCCTGCCCGGAATGATGCCCCTCGCGCCACATTCACACATACACGAACATGAATAAGTAGTAACTCCAAAAGATGCCCAACCACTGGGGCTGGACGGTAGAACGACGGTCTCGCTTCATGCAGGTCGGCGTTCAATCCCCGACCGTCCATGTATGTGGCTTGCCACCATTCCTTGACCCCCGTCCCATCCCAAATTCGTATCCTGATCCCTTCCAAGTGCTATATAGTCGTAATGGCTTGGCGATTTCTCCTGAGAGTTCACTTCCTTCAAAATCCGGACCGAGACCCACAAGTATACAAAGTCTCGGAGCTGAAGGACATGAACTACAAGGCTAGACTGAAGGCAATTTTATTCAATTCAATTTCTGTATTATGCACCCCATACCCATCCCACTGAAGGCGAGAGACTTAATCACCACAGAGTCGTTACGGAGGCAGGCGGATAAGCTGTTCAATGTGGAAGGGAACAACTAGGGTGGGTGAGAGAGGTGTGGCAGTTATACCCTCAACTGAGCCAGAGGTACATGAGAACGAACCTCGTCACTGTAAGGGAGTGAAGAGAGAGGAAGGAACTATGGAGAGAGAGAGTTACTGGAGGCTGACTACATTTAAGGATTCAAACGTATGTCAAAGCCAAGAACACACACACACACACACAAACACACACACACACACACACACACACACACACACACAACACACACACACACACACACACACACACACACACACACACTCACTTCGTTGGAAGACAGAAGAGTTAGAGGGGACATGATCACCACATTCAAGATTCTCAAGGGAAGCGACAGGGTTGATAAAGACAGGCTATTTAACACAAGGGGCACACGCACTAGGGGACACAGGTGGAAACTGAGTGCCCAAATGAGCCACAGAGATATTAGAAAGAACTTTTTTAGTGTCAGAGTGGTTGACAAATGGAATGCATTAGGAAGCAATGTGGTGGAGGCTGACTCCATACACAGTTTCAAGTGTAGATATGATAGAGCCCAATAGGCTCAGGAACCTGTACACCTGTTGATTGATGGTTGAGAGGCGGGACCAAAGAGCCAGAGCTCAACCCCCGCAAGCACAACTAGGTGAGTACAACTAGGTGAGTACACACACACACACACACACACACACACACACACACACAACACACACACACACACACACACACACACACACACACACACACACACACACACACACACACAAAGAAATTATATTTGTAGACTAGGTGTGTACCTAGTACCTGATAATTACCTTACCTTACTTAATCTGCTCCTTTATACATAACTAAATGCTTAAAATGAAATGCAAGGAGAAAATTCGATCGTTCACTTATCATCCTCCTCCTCACTCCCTCCTCTTGTTTCCCTTCCCAGTCCCTTCCTAGCCAGAGCCTAGACCAAAGTCTAGAGAACATCCTCCTGGGGCAAGATAACGCCACAACTCCTAAAGATATCATGACTAATTCTACAAATCAGAGAGTGAGTGACGCTCGATATCTGGATTTAATGACGGAACGGCTCGTATTACGTCAGTTGTATGAGGGGGAGAGAGAGAGAGAGAGAGAGAGAGAGAGAGAGAGAGAGAGAGAGAGAGAGAGAGAGAGAGAGAGAGAGAGAGAGAGAGAGAGAGAGAGAGAGAGAGATACAGGGAGTGACAGAGAGAGAGAGAGAGAGAGAGAGAGAGAGAGATACAGGGAGTGACAGAGAGCGAAAAATTCTCCATTGAGGACCTTTGATACGTGACGAACCAAAATACAGGCCAGACCCATCATTTGTTACAGGAGAGCATCCAAACACTGTTTTAAAAATACCAAACAGAGGACATTCAATCACTGTCGGCAGGGGTATGAAAAATAGTGTGGCAGCTGTGTGGCACTGTTGTGGTGGCGGTTGTGTGGCACTGTAGTGGTGGTGGCTGTGTGTGGCACTGTAGTGGTGGTGGCTGTGTGTGGCACTGTAGTGGTGGTGGCTGTGTGTGGCACTGTAGTGGTGGCGGCTGTGTGGCACTGTAGTGGTGGCGGTTGTGTGGCACTGTAGTGGTGGTGGCGGATGTGTGTCACTGTAGTGGTGGTGGCTGTGTGGCACTGTAGTGGTAGTGGCTGTGTGGCACTGTAGTAGTGGCAGCTGTGTGGCACTGTAGTGGTGGCAGCTGTGTGGCACTGTAGTAATGGTGGCTGTGTGGCACTGTTGTGATAGTGGCTGTGTAGCACTATAGTGAGGGATTGTGGTAAGGCTGCGGTGAAGCTGCGAGTGGTCTGCTGACACACGAAGTAAGTGGAGGTCTGCAGCGTTGATAACGATAACCCAACTCTCCCCGTTGATAACGATAACGCGGTACTCCGTTGATAACGGCGCTCGGCCACCCGGCTTGAACAAACGGATCAGTCACCCTAATGCACAGATAAAGACGTCACAGCCATGAGTAACGACAGGCGTCAGTTACAAGGGAACATGGCGAGGAACATATGGAGGATACGGAACATGGCGAGGAGCATATGGAGGATACGGAACACGCGGAGGAGCATATGGAGGATATGGAACACGTCGAGGAGCATATGGAGGATACGGAACATGGCGAGGAGCATATGAAGGATACGGAACATGGCGAGGAGCATATGGAGGATACGGAACACGCGGAGGAGCATATGGAGGATATGGAACACGGCGAGGAGCATATGGAGGATACGGAACATGGCGAGGAGCATATGAAGGATACGGAACATGGCGAGGAGCATATGGAGGATACGGAACACGCGGAGGAGCATATGGAGGATATGGAACACGGCGAGGAGCATATGGAGGATACGGTACATGGCGAGGAGCATATGGAGGATACGGAACATGGCGAGGAGCATATGGAGGATACGGAACATGGCGAGGAGCATATGGAGGATACGGAACATGGCGAGGAGCATATGGAGGATACGGAAGATGGCGAGGAGCATATGGAGGACACGGAACACGAAGAGCACTTGCAGAAGACGGAACACTAACAGGAGCATGTGGAGAAGGAGCATAAAGAGGAACATATGCAGTCAAACATTTCTCGTATGTGAGACTGTGAACAAAAGTTTTTGATCTCGGTGAATTAATTTGTAAATTTTTATTTATCATTAAAAACTTTTTTTTAGAGTTGAACAAGTCGGGTGTCAATTAATCTGGGCCAGGATTGATTACGCAGCATCCCCTTACGAAACCTGTACATCTCAAGGCGGCTTTGTTTACATTTATTAAAAAGGTTACCAGCTCTGGATCACTACCAGGTCGTTCATAACGACAATAACCATAGATGGTCACGTTTCGTGGCTCGGAAACTGTTTATTAAATGTAAAGTAAGCCGTCATGATTGTTGTACGATGTACAGGTTTCGGAAGAGCGATGCGTAAAGGCTGGTCAGGGGGCTCTCTATCATGCTTGCAAGAGCAAGTGGATGCTGGAGGTGTCAATGCAACTTGGGAAGGAAGGAATTATCAGGGGGAAAGCGCCAAGCCAGGACGACTATATAGCACTTCCCTGCAAACACAAACCGAAACTGTCTCTATTTTCCGCTTATTACAACTTGTAATAAAGTTGTTACATCTTGGTTTAACGTGTTTATGACGTATTAGAACGTTGTTACAACTTGCTATATTGGTTGTTATAACTGGTTAGGAGGTGTTAAAACTTGTTCGAACGTTGTACCAACGTCGTAGTTTCGGTGTGTGTTTGGCGGGTTGGGAGGAGCCAGAATATGGATTTAGGATGGGACGGGTGAGGGAGGGAAGGAATGGTGGCCCAACTACTTGAACGATCGGGGATTGAACGCTGACCTGCATGAAGCGAGACCTTCTTGGTGCATGGGGTTGAAGGGGTGATAAGACTGTACTGCCGGGTATCGAGTCCCATAATGCAGCTTCTCGTACCTCAAACTTCCCCTACTTCAACTGTCCCTTGAGCTAGTAAGTGGCCAGGGACGCCAGGGGTCCCCATACTAGGCATCAGAGTGAAGCAAAATTGTCTATGTTAAGAATGAACCTGAGTGGTCCTGTCAGCCTCTCAGATGAGCCCATCCTTGCCTTTGTACAGTTCGGGTTATGCAAAACAGTTGATAGATAAATTCCAAAACGACACTGGTCCCTCATTGATATATAAATCCTTAATTTATATATAAATCCTTACTTTATATATAAATCCTTAATTTATATATAAATCCTTATTTTATATATAAATTCTTACTTTATTTATAAATACCTCATTGAGATATAAATCCTTCATCGATATATGAATCCTTCATTAATATATATAAATCCCAAATGGATGGCTATATTATAATTACTGTAAATGGTATTAGTCAGTTCTCTTTCATTGTTAGAGTGAGCGTACGGGAGAGGGAGGCACGAGGAGGATACAGTGGGAAAGGCAACATAGAGAGAACACATGCAGGAGAACAGGAAAATAGAGAAAATGAAGCATAAAAGAAAAAATTATCAAACGGAGAGGAAAATGATACAGAAGACCTGCAGCATACGGAGGAGAGGACACAGAGAAAGGGAGCATATAGAGCACAAAAGAAGGGGGAGGGGGGGGGGGGAGCATAAGAAATTGAAATAAGTTTATTGAGGTATAAATACACACAAAGGGATGAGGTAGTTCAAAGCTGTGAACTGTATATATGTGAGAGAGAGAGAGAGAGAGAGAGAGAGAGAGAGAGAGAGAGAGAGAGAGAGAGAGAGAGAGAGAGAGAGAGAGAGAGAGAGAGAGAGAGAGAGAGAGAGAGAGAGAGAGAGAGAGAGAGAGAGAGAGAGAGAGATTCATACTCAATGAACTGTGAGAGGGCCATAATAATCTTATGTCTTTCCGCTCCAGCCTATCTTTACTCTATCAACAAACCATCAATCAACGCACCGAGTATACTTTCCCTCTTATCTATCCACCATTCCATCCAAACTCTCAATATATCAATATTTCCACCCTGAATATATGCGCTCAATCATAACCCCCCTATATCCACAAGTTCCCATCTATTCCTCCATTCCCTCTATCCAATATCCAGCCCGATCAACTGAATCCATCGGGTTACCATGACAACTCATTGGCTGTTAGAGACTCCTTACCCCCAGGATCCGTCGAGACTCCTTACGTCAGCTTACCTCAGGAGTCTAATTGATAGTTTGGAAGTGTAAGTCACTGGTGGAACAAGTTTGGCCGTCTGGGATCACTTAAGCCTCACGTGTTCCTCCGCTACCGGATGAACCTCTTGCCCTAATTTAGACGTGATTGGCCCCTACAGATTTCATTGGATTCTGATTGCTTTTCAGAATCTGTTCGAGTTTTAATTGGGGGTCTGATTAGTCGTGTTCTGATTAATTTGCCGGGCAGCTTCAGCAGAATGATGAGTTGGAGAAGAGGAAGATCTAATCATAACACAAAGAATCATACGATATGACGTGTGATTCATTATTCATGATGAGCGACCCCAGCATGTTTAAGAGACGAGTTATTTCGTGCCGTCAATACTGTAGTGATTGATGGTATGCGATGCGTCCCACCAGTCCCATAAGGAGTGATATGGCATGCGAGCATCCCATCTCACTCCTTACACAATAACTGCTCGAATCAAAATCAGGGAGGGAGGGGGGTGCTGGCCAGGGAGGGGGGTGCTGGCCAGGGAGGGGGGTGCTGGCCAGGGAGGGGGTGCTGGCCAGGGAGGGGGGTGCTGGCCAGGGAGGGGTGAGGGGGGTGAGAGGAACAGTGACTAGGACACTGTTCACTGCTGTTCAGCATCACGCAACGTTTTGCACTTTCCGGCAAATGTGGCGATTATGGAAATTTAATCCGACAAAATGTACAATTCCACATTTATCCATTTTCGTTGTTCTAGAATTGGCAGACCCTAAAAAAAAAATAGTAAAAATAGATTTTTGTTTTATTCTGTTGTTGTATAAAGCTCGACTACATAACAGCGAGGAATATTGTTGTTGTATCTATGTAAACACTGCTCGTATTAGCAAACAATGTATATAAACAATGGCTTGTGGGACTGTGTGGTTGCTTGTGGTGTGTGTTCGAGTCCTCACACAACTCTCACGGATATTCGATAATAAGCTGGGACAAAATACTTCACAGATGTTACTCGTATTAATGATATATTTCTTATTTAAATGCAAAAATTAGTCGGTGTAGTTTGGATATGCTGATATTAATCGAGACTCCTTCGCTTCCTAAACGTTAAGGGAAGTAAAGATGGGGACAAAAGGAAGGTGAAGGATTGCCTGACGGCAAGGGGGGGAGGGGGGAAGTGTTTGATGGCAGGGGAAGGAGTGCTTGACAGGGTGGGGTGGGGGTGCTTGACGGCAGGGGGGAGTGCTTGACGGCAGGGTAGGAGTGCTTGACGGCAGGGTAGGAGTGCTTGACGGCAGTGGAACAGCGCTTGAAGCAGGTGAGGTTCAGGCAAGTTTATTGAGATAACAAGATACATCTCAAAAGGATAGAGTAGCTTAGGCGTATTTCTACCATCGTTGGTAAGGTAAAGCATTAATGTTTATCAACATTACATTACATTTCATCTGCCAATTATTCAGCAATTTTAAAAGCCTACCTAAATCGTTTAATAGCAATTTTGGTATTTTTTATGAATATATTTCCCCGCTTTACTTTCGTATCATCTACAAATTTGCAAACGTTTCTTTTCAATCGTGTGTCTAATTGTTTACATATGATTAACGACAGAAGTCTCAGAGTTCTGTGAAACTCCACTTGCAACGCTGGGATTGTAGTCCATTTGTGTAAACTGTTTCCTTTGAAACACCCGGGCCCAGTTACCTTAGGGCCACGAGCCTCGGGGGCCACGAGTTACGGGGCCACGCGCCTCAGGGCCCGGAGCCTCGGGGGACACGCGCCTCGGGGGCCACGATCCACTAATTCTGAGGAATCTTTCGTGAGACACAGTATCAAAAGCTTTGCTAAAGTCAAGATAATGTAACAATCCCTTCCACTGTCTACTGCCTTAACTAGGCCGGGAATAGAATGAAAACTAGTGTGTCAAACATGAGCGGCTCTTAGTAAAGTCATATTGCGAAACCTTTATTAATCTATACCTTTCAAAATGTATACGAGTGACTTTTGCTATTATCTCAAATCAAATATTTATTCAGGTAAAGTACATACATACAAGGTGAGATACAAAACATTGATGGATTTATAGATAGAGCTAGTACATACAATGCCTAAAGTCACTATTATGCAAAGCGTTTCGGGCATCTATTTAAAACACATGTCCCGCAATATCTATTAAGCTAAGAGACCGATAGTGGACGCAAGTGATGTATCTCCTCCGTCTTAAAGATCGGTACTACCGTGGCGAGTCTTCATGACTCCGGTACTCTGCTCGGCTCTGATGATAGGCAAGATATAAGACTGGCAACACTGGCTGATGACTGAAGCCAGTGTTGCCTATAGTACCCTCTGCCCGTCTCCTTTAGGTCACCCACAAAACATTACTTTTTCAAGACCTGTTGTCTATCAGTAGGCATCCATCAGTCTCATGGGACTATGAAGGTGCGCTCTGGTTGACGGTCTAAAGTGGCCTCTCCACAGCGCAAAGCCAGGATAGGTTGATATAGGGGAAAAGCTGTTACCCATGCAGCAGGTCCCCCCTTACACACACACTTCACGGCCTCGAAAGTCACCGATGGAAAGGCAAACGCCAATACGATTGGTTCCAGCACCGTCGCCGTTATTCAATCAGAAGAATATATTTAAAGACGATGACAGACGCAGCCTTTTGTTCAGGGAAAATTGGAAACGCATCTTTTGTACCGGAAGTGACAAGCATTTGAAATGCATTTTCGTTATCAAACTACAAACTAATAATAAAGACAATAAAGACTTTAATCAACCAAAGACATTACCAGATAAGCAACACTGGAGAGAATTGATACTAATAACAGTTAAGTAAACTAATGCCTTTGACTGCAACAATCCCGTCGATTGTTTTGTAACGAAGGCTGCAAAGACAATCACTTAGTTCTACAGGCATAACCCTCACTGCTCATTTTCAAATCAAACTAATAAGGGTGCCGGTCGGCCGAGCGGACAGCACGCTGGACTTGTGATCCTGTGGTCCTGGGTTCGATTCCAGGCGCCGGCGAGAAACAATGGACAGAGTTTCTTTCACCCTATGGCCTTTGTTACCTCGCAGTAAAATAGGTACCTGGGTGTTAGTCAGCTGTCACGGGCTGCTTCCTAGGGGTGGAGGCCTGGTCGAGGACCGAGCCGCGGGGACACTAAAAGCCCCGAAATCATCTCAAGATAACCTCAAGATAATCATCGTTCTTGAAGCTAGATCGAAGAAGATTCCCCCTGCGAGAAACACTTTTTCTTGCAAGAAGACCTCAAAGCGTGGAGCAGTTGCTGCTCTTGCAGGCTGAGGGCGGGAGCAGTCACTTACCGTTAGTGTCGCGTCGCGCCACCAGAGAGGCCGGGAAGAGCCCCGTGCGGGCGCTGGTGCTCCCGTCGAAGATGACGCCGCTGCAGAGGCCAGAGTCGTCCTCGCCCAAGACCTGCCGAGGAAGGTGGCCGGGCGTTAATGTGCCGCTTCACGTTTGAAATGGAAGGAACTTAAGGAAGGACACAGTAACAGATTAAACGATATAAATTAGAGGGCAAAATGGAAAAAAAAGGCGAAACGAAGAGGACTAAATTGCAGAAAGAAAACAAGACTGAAGGGCAGAACAAATCCACAAGGGCCGTGACGAGGATTCTAACCTGCGTACGGGAGCATCCCAGACACTGCCTTAATCGACTGAGCTACGACAGGGTAAAAAGCCCTTGTGGATTTGTTCATTTGATGCATCACGTTAGTGTGATCTCTGTGTGTGTCTGAAGGAAAGAGTTAGTAAGGTGCAGCGTAGCAGAGAGGGGGGGGGGAAAGCGTCGCGATAACACCCCTTGTTATCACCAACGTCGTTATCTAAGTGTAAACCAAACAAGGTGCATACACTTCGTGCAACATGTCACGTAGAGCCTGGCTATTGTTAGCACGTCTTGAAAACATCATCATTGTACTGCTGTTTGTTATGTAAACTACTGCTAAACTTTGGCCTCAAGTTTGTTAAGACGGCGGACACGAGTGGAGGAAACTTCTGGCTCATAAGTTTTAATGGTAAAGGTCTTTCAAAAACCACCATCAATGTAAAAATATTACCAACTACCTACGATGCAATAATTATGAAGATTGACGACAACAAATCCCGAGGAAGGAATTCACACAATCATTTATATTATTGTCAATAAGGTCGTTATCACTTTGTGTACTGATCATTAATTAATACAAACAAGTGACAAATGTTAAATTCTCATAATTACAGTTTATAATAATGATTTGTGACGTTATCAAATGTTTTCTTTTTCGATGCCCACTCATTAATTACATCTATAATGAGACACTTTTGTAAATAAGGAAAATGTGTTCATGCATATGAATTTCATTCTAATGTGTACAGAGAGAGAGAGAGAGAGAGAGAGAGAGAGAGAGAGAGAGAGAGAGAGAGAGAGAGAGAGAGAGAGAGAGAGAGAGAGAGAGAGACAGAGAGAGAGAGAGAGAGAAAGAGAGAGAGAGAGAGAGAGAGAGAGAGAGAGAGAGAGAGAGAGAGAGAGAGAGAGAGAGAGAGAGAGAGAGAGAGAGAGAGAGAGAGAGAGAGAGAGAGGACACAAACTCTCACACATTACATTCCTACAATCGTATACACGAACAAGGCTCATGATGCAAGTCAGTGTGCAGTGTGTCGAGGTGAACTGAGTAACAGTGGACGAAAACACACCAACACAGCTAACTAATACGTGTTAATGTTCAGTATATTAATTACTAAAATATATTTTAAATCACACAAAAGTACACAAGGCGTTTACCATCGAGGCTCGTGGGCTGAGGACGGTCTTGTTTCCGAACACTCTTCCTGGAGGCTGACCTTGTGGGAGACAAGACTTGTGGCCGAGTGCGAGTTTCTCTTCACTTCTCAGCCGGTGCTTCAAGGTAGACCTTAATATACGTTGCCTAGGACTCAAAGTCTTGTTCAGGCTCTCAAATGGATCTTTGCGTGTCGATAGGGCAAACATCTCATTATCGTTTAGTGCTCTTTCAGCCTCCTGAGCAAAGACCTGCTCAAGATTCCTCGCGGGAAGATGGTTACAAAGAGAAAGGGTCTTTCGTTGATCGACTCTCGCAAAACAAGTCTTTAAGTTGTACTTATTAATTTTTAGCGCGGGGATACGAGGAGTGTGTTCGAGGACGAGACTTTCTTTGTCCTTCACGACGCTCTCCGAAGTTGTTGATCTCTTGGAGGACCTTGATCGTTGTGTCCTGTCCTCATGCGTCCTCTCCGACGTTCCCAAGCTACAACCTGAAGATCTAATGCTCGAGTTCGAGTCGGGAGAACTGGGCTCCTTGCAAGTAGACACACTGTGACTGGAGGACCTCGGACAGCTGCGAGATCGAGCGAGGTGATATCCAGGTCGAACAGTGAGAGCAGGGTGGTCGGGCGTAGCACTCACTAGAAGAACCTTACCGTCTTCCCCACTCTCATTCCTGTAACACCGTCTATGTCCGTCATCTGCAGATTTTTCTCTGTCTAACTTTGTGCTAGTATCCTTGCATTTCTGATCAGGCTTTGGCGATTTATTAATTACTATCTCATGTCTTGGGCTATGATCTGTAGAGATGTAGAAGTTCTCCTTCTTCGGGTTTGGTGTTGGGTTTTCGCGGATAATCTTCCGCATTCTACGAAGACTAGAAAATAAATTCGGCTGACTTTTGATAGCCATTACGCCACATTGATCACAAGATCGCATCCAGTTTTCTTTGGTAAGTTTTAAGTTTAAAGAATCATCTGACCTCGATGAACTAAAACTGACTTTATACTGATCCAACTTCTCCAGCCACCGGTTTCTGACCTTGACTAATTCATCCGTGGACTTGCTAGTCTCTGGAGGTCTCTTTCCGGAGCGACAGCAACCATTTTCTTCCCCATTGCAAAGGTCGACGAGAATCTCTGCCGACCGAGACGTTCGTAGCTTAATTTCCGCTGGCCTCTCCTCCTTCAAGGAACCAGCAGAGGTCCCTCGAGGAGAAGGTAGAGCGGATCTGGACACTCTTTGGACGGGATACCATGTTTTGGGTGACCAAAGGGATCGAGATCTTCCAGACTGGGGCGACACAGGATCTCCGAGTTCTGCTGCCTTACGGTGGCCAGAAAATCTTGATGATACTGGACTTTCAACCCGCTGTATTGGGTCATAAGGAGAGTGGAACCTACTCCACAGTGACTCTCTTGTGGTATTCTTCTTACGTATCGTGTAGAAGTTTGTCCAGAATGTTGACCCTTGAGACTCCGAACCCATGTTCACAATACAATTCGATAAGTTCACCTGACTGTTGTTTGATGTTCGTGGAACGGTTGTTGCATAGTTCGCGAGTTAAACTGACGAACAAATAGCGCTTATTGGCATATTCGTATAATTAGTCGACTGTCGATGTACCGATGCATTTTACTTAAATTAAATAATGTGAACATGCGGGCACTTGTTTTAATATACCCACATACACGTGCCATATCCTGATATACCGGGCTTGAAGTCACATCTTCTCACACACAGAGATCAAACAAACGTGATGCATCAAAGGAACAAATCCACAAGGATCCAGTAAGTTCAGTAGAACTTCGGTTTCAACTCTTTTACCCTGTCGTAGCTGAGTCGATTAAGGCAGTGTCTGGGATGCTCCCAGACGCAGGTTCGAATCCTCGTCACGGCCCTTGTGGATTTGTTTACACGTTCTCATACTCCGAGGTGTAAAACCCACCACGTCAACAGAGGTTCAGGTCCTTGTAGTGTGAACCAAAACACCCGTTTGAACACATGTTCAGGCTCCGCTTCAGAGCACACGCTCGGCATCACTTAACACCGTGCTCAAATTAATGCTGCAGGAAAAACGGATAATTTTAGACATCTGCATATTTCTTATATTTTTTTACTGGTGGGATAAAGGGCTTCACCCTCCAGCACACACACAACCCACGACCTCCAGCAGCACCTGAGAGACACAACCCCCCAGCACAACACCTCAGACCTTTCTGCCCACCATCAACGAGATGAAAGCCAACGCAATTCCTTTCACAAGTAGAATTTCGAAGTTCTAGAGCCAAGTAACGCTCAAACCACTCTTCACAACACGAAAACTTCACCACATTTTGAGCAGGAGGTAACGGCACTCTGACATAACTGACACTGGCACTACGCCTCATATTCCCCCCGATACAACCCGTTGATTCTCTTATCATTCAACAGCTCGAGCTTATCGCCCTGCTCTTGCAGATAAAAATAGGATATCCGCTGGAAATAAAAATAGAGAGTGCAATTCAATATTATAAGAGTTGTGGTATTATACGGATGTTATGCGAGTGCATAATGTTGAATGAGTACTTGGGTGGTGATTTGAGTGAATGTGTGTGTACAAGCGTGACAAGGGCCGCTGAACGGTAATCTGTGCAATGAGGAGACGAAACGATATTGAAAGAATCAATGTGAAAATGCAGGCGATGAGTCACAATAACGTGGCTGAAGTATGTTGACTTGAGAATGTTGTCCTAATTCTCAATCGACTTGAGAATGGTCCAGGACGGACCGAAACGTCGTCGTCCCCTTCAATGTGAAAATCACACTAGAAACATGCAGTAAGTTTTCAAGTTGGAACGCCAGCTGCGCCAACCTCCACGACTTTCAACTAAACAGATACTACCAGGAGGGCCACTAATCGAAATAGAAGGGGTAAGAAAATAGGTAAGGGAAATCACTAGAGAAGTTGGACATGGGGAAATATACTGGTCCCTGTTAGGTGAACAAGCCCTTCAGGTGAAATAAACCCTGCCCATTTGCAGCCGATGAGAATGAATGGTCCAGGACGGACCGAAACGTCGTCGTCCCTTCATTCTCTGCCCATTTGTTTCTGCCTCGGCCGGGAATCGGACTCGGGCCCTTTGACAAGCCCCGAGCGTTGTCCACTCAGCCGCGAGGCCTGTGTGTGTGTGTGTGTGTGTGTGTGTGTGTGTGTTTACTAGTTGTGTTTACTAGTTGTGTTTTTACGGGGGTTGAGCTTTGCTCTTTCGGCCCGCCTCTCAACTGTCAATCAACTGTTTCCTAACTACTTTTTTTTTTCCCCACACCACACACACACACACCCCAGGAAGCAGCCCGTGACAGCTGACTAACTCCCAGGTACCTATTTACTGCTAGGTAACAGGGGCATTCAGGGTGAAAGAAACTTTGCCCATTTGTTTCTGCCTCGTGCGGGAATCGAACCCGCGCCACAGAATTACGAATCCTGCGCGCTATCCACCAGGCTACGAGGCCCCCCAATGAGTAGTGTGTGTGTGTGTGTGTGTATGTGTGTGTGTGTGTGTGTGTGTGTGTGTGTGTGTGTGTGTGTGTGTGTGTGTGTGTGTGTGTGTGTGTGTGTGTGTGTGTGTGTGTGTGTGTGTGTGTGTGTGTGTGTGTGTGTGTTTGTGTGTGTGTGTGTGTGTGTGTGTGTGTGTGTGTGTGTGTGTGTGTGTGTGTGTGTGTGTGTGTGTGTGTGTGTGTGTGTGTGTGTGTGTGTGTGTGTGTGTGTGTGTTTGTGTGTGTGTGTGTGTGTGTGTGTTTGTGTGTGTGTGTGTGTGTGTGTGTGTGTGTGTGTGTGTGTGTGTGTGTGTGTGTGTGTGTGTGTGTGTGTGTTTGTGTGTGTGTGTGTGTGTGTGTTTGTGTGTGTGTGTGTGTGTGTGTGTGTGTGTGTGTGTGTGTGTGTGTGTGTGTGTGTGTGTGTGTGTGTGTGTGTGTGTGTGTGTGTACTGTGACTACATTGTGGGAATTTGTATAAGTGCGTATAATCAAATATTTTGCAGTAAAATTATACATCATTGTTTAATCAAAATAAAATATCAATACCCTGTAGTAATAAATATTTATACAATATATGCATATAAATACATATATATATATATATATATATATATATATATATATATATATATATATATATATATATATATATATATATATTTTATGCAACCTTAAATAAAAGTAAAGATTCTTGAGGGAGTCACATTATGAGAGCTCACCTTGAGACACTGGGAGCCAGGAGGCTCTCACAGGCTCAAGGCACTTATCTCAACCTCTCGTATACACGCAAATAAATTTATGTATATACGGCACCACTTGCCTTTAAGATACCCTTGGGAGCAATTGGGGGAATAATAATGATATACCACAGCCTCACCCCCTCCTGATCCTTCTCCCCCTCCCCTCTTCCCTCCCCAAAGTCTCCCCCCCCCTAGGGGAATGGGAATAACCTGGAATCCGTTACTGGGAATGGGAATGCACTAGGATCCATTACCCCCCAAACGAGAATACATCGGAACCCGTTATTCTGAGTGAAATTACTCTGGGAACATCATCTAGGGCCATTCATAAAACAGGATTGTGTTTGTTTTCAATGATCCTCCTGTGTGCGCAGCACGCTGCTGTGGAGACAGCCACAGCGTCTTGCTGTTCGCTGCTGTGGAGGCAGCCACAGCGTCTTACTGTTCGCTGTTGTGGAGGCAGCCACAGCATCTTACTGTTCGCTGTTGTGGAGGCAGCCACAGCGTCTTGCTGTTCGCTGTTGTGGAGGCAGCCACTGCGTCTTGCTGTTCGCTGCTGTGGAGGCAGCCACAGCGTCTTACTGTTCGCTGCTGTGGAGGCAGCCACAGCGTCTTACTGCTCACTGCTGTGGAGGCAGCTACAGCATCTTGTTGTTCGCTGCTGTGGAGGCAGCCACAGCGTCTTGCTGTTCGCTGTTGTGGAGGCAGCCACAGCGTCTTGCTGTTCGCTGCTGTGGAGGCAGCCACAGCGTCTTACTGTTCGCTGTTGTGGAGGCAGCCACAGCGTCTTGCTGTTCGCTGTTGTGGAGGCAGCCACTGCGTCTTGCTGTTCGCTGCTGTGGAGGCAGCCACAGCGTCTTACTGTTCGCTGCTGTGGAGGCAGCCACAGCATCTTACTGTTCACTGCTGTGGAGGCAGCCACAGCATCTTACTGCTCACTGTTGTGGAGGCAGCCACAGCATCTTACTGTTCACTGCTGTGGAGGCAGCCACAGCGTCTTACTGCTCACTGTTGTGGAGGCAGCCACAGCATCTTACTGTTCCCTTCTGTGGAGGCAGCCACAGCATCTTACTGTTCGCTGCTGTGGAGGCAGTCACAGCGTCTTACTGTTCACTGCTGTGGAGGCAGCCACAGCATCTTACTGTTCACTGCTGTGGAGGCAGCCACAGCGTCTTACTGCTCACTGTTGTGGAGGCAGCCACAGCATCTTACTGTTCACTGCTGTGGAGGCAGCCACAGCATCTTACTGCTCACTGCTGTGGAGGCAGCCACAGCATCTTACTGCTCACTGCTGTGGAGGCAGCCACAGCATCTTACTGTTCACTTGTGTTGAGGCAGCCACTGCATCTTACTGTTCACTGCTGTGGAGGCAGCCACAGCATCTTACTGCTCACTGCTGTGGAGGCAGCCACAGCGTCTTACTGCTCGCTGCTGTGGAGGCAGCTACAGCATCTTACTGTTCACTGCTGTGGAGGCAGCTACAGCATCTTACTGTTCACTGCTGTGGAGGCAGCCACAGCATCTTACTGCTCGCTGCTGTGGAGGCAGCCACAGCATCTTACTGTTCACTGCTGTGGAGGCAGCCACAGCATCTTACTGCTCGCTGCTGTGGAGGCAGCCACAGCATCTTACTGTTCACTGCTGTGGAGGCAGCCACAGCATCTTACTGTTCACTGCTGTGGAGGCAGCTACAGCGTCTTACTGTTCACTGCTGTGGAGGCAGCCACAGCATCTTACTGTTCACTGCTGTGGAGGCAGCCACAGCATCTTACTGTTCACTGCTGTGGAGGCAGCCACAGCATCTTACTGTTCACTGCTGTGGAGGCAGCCACAGTATCTTACTGTTCACTGCTGTGGAGGCAGCCACAGCATCTTACTGTTCACTGCTGTGGAGGCAGCCACAGCATCTTACTGCTCGCTGCTGTGGAGGCAGCCACAGCATCTTACTGTTCACTGCTGTGGAGGCAGCCACAGCATCTTACTGTTCACTGCTGTGGAGGCAGCCACAGCATCTTACTGCTCGCTGCTGTGGAGGCAGCCACAGCATCTTACTGTTCACTGCTGTGGAGGCAGCCACAGCATCTTACTGTTCACTGCTGTGGAGGCAGCCACAGCATCTTACTGCTCGCTGCTGTGGAGGCAGCCACAGCATCTTACTGTTCACTGCTGTGGAGGCAGCTACACCATCTTACTGTTCACTGCTGTGGAGGCAGCTACACCATCTTACTGTTCACTGCTGTGGAGGCAGCCACAGCATCTTACTGTTCACTGCTGTGGAGGCAGCCACAGCATCTTACTGTTCACTGCTGTGGAGGCAGCCACAGCATCTTACTGTTCACTGCTGTGGAGGCAGCTACACCATCTTACTGTTCACTGCTGTGGAGGCAGCCACAGCATCTTACTGCTCGCTGTTGCACGAATCTATATAAAGAATAAATCTGGTTTATCATGCATACAAAATGGTGATTTGTTAACAGTTTTACACCATAATTATTTACTTTTTTCGGGGGAGGAGAAGCTGTTGCTCATGATACGCATTACTGAACGTGACAAAGGATTAGGGTTTATCTTTTTGACACTGATACTACCTATATTACTATGGTCCTTCACATGGGAGGCACTTGACAACTCACTCAAGTTCACTTTACACGAGTAAATGGAATCTATTCATTGTCATTTTTATTTGGCCCGGCAGGGCGGGTATATGGGGGCAGCATGTGTATTAGTTATACTGCGAGAGAACACTCCGCTATATCAGTATGTTATCAGGAGGCTGGTATAACACCCCGCAGTAATAACACCCGCTGGCTTGTTCATCATGATCCTAGAATGTAATACTGACTACATCTCTTCACAGATATTCATGTCCTTTTTTGTTTAGTTTTCTGCTAGGACGTGTCCGTGTTCTTTCAGCCTAATAACTTGGGGCCAGATTCACGAAGCAGTTACGCAAGCACTTACGAACGTGTACATCTTTCCCTCAATCTTTGACGGCTTTGGTTACATTTATTAAACAGTTTACAAGCATGCAAACTTGCCAATCAACTGTTGTTATTGTTATAAACAGCCTCCTGGTGCTTCGGAGCTCATTAACTGTTTAATAATTATAAACAAAG